AGAACGCTCGTTTTTACATCATTCCAGAGGTAACTAAATGGCCTTTATTCGAAGTTTCTCAAGAACCATTCGAGCCACAGAATTCGTTTTGGCATTGTTGGATAGAGAATTGAATGGGGGGCCATGACCCCCATGACCCCCCCCCCTGGATCCGCCCTTGGCATGAAATGTGTGGGATAAGGCGAATTCGTTTGTTGTGTTTTGGGCATTAGAGAACCTCAAGCAATCAGAAAATGCGAAAGAACTTTAGAAAACTACCTAATTTAAAGCGATGTTGATTATTTATGTTCATTTTCAAAATTCAAATCAAAATTATTATAGTTGGCTAAAATTGCAATGCTGCCGAAATCTATCGTAGATTCATGGGAAATTTTATCCTTGTCCATGACTTTTGACGTTGACGCAATATTTGTACTTTTCAAATAAACCATTTATCCATAAATAATAATCAGCAAAAGCGTTGAGATAATTTAATACTGCGAAGAATTTATGGCGGGTATGGCAACAACGCTCGACCGACGATTGATGACGTGCGACCAAAGTTATAACGTACAGACTGTACGAATGTACTATCAACAGGGCGTCTCAAAACTTTCTCAGAAACTGTAGTGAGTAGTCGCGATCGTTTTTTCGATCTCCGAAACTGTATTCGCATTAATTAGCTTTATGAGAAATCCCGACCTTAAAAAAGTGAAAGGCAATTCAGTGATCTTTACAACTTTTAAAGGGCGTTTCGCATAAACAGTGGAAAATAGCTGAGTGGTGGTCATAACGTCTTTCCCTCGATTAGTTTTGTGGGACCATTGCACCTATAGAAAGTTAGCTAGAAAATGAACAGACTCTAATGTAGAAGACTCAAGAACTCATTAAGAGCCCCATTAAAAATGACGTTTTTGCCAGGAACTTGTGTGGACACTGAAATCGCCCATCCATACATGCAGGATTTCTACCTGGTGTCCCATGCCAGTATACAGGGTGTGGCCAAACCGACCAAGTATGTCACTCTGTGGGACGACAACGATATGACTAACGATCAGATTGAGCAGTTGGCCTACTATTTGTGCCACATGTTTACCAGATGCACCCGATCGGTCAGTTATCCAGCGCCGACCTATTATGCGCATTTGGCAGCAGCCAGAGGAAGAGTCTACATTGAAAACGACCAACTGAATATGTCGCGTCTTCGAGATGAATTTCAGAAAGTCCAAATTTTGGACACGATCCGGAAAGATTTTCCCATGTTTTTTGTTTAATTCTTTAATTATCTGAATAGTTGTCTGGTTTGGCGCAATGGGTCTGTCTATGCTATATTCCGCTGGAAGTGTTTAGTTTATCTCAGCTATTTTCAATAAACCCTTTATTTATATTTTATTGTTTCCTCTCAAATATCACTTATTGTAATCACTTAATGCAACATAAGGGGCCATACAAATTGCCAGAATTGAATTGACCTAAATGAACTAGTAGTAATGAGATGAAAAGTGAATTCAATTGAAACTAAAGCGTTTCGGTGGCGGGAATGGTCGGTTTTCTGCACACGAAGAAAACGCTGTCGTACTCGTACTGAACCATCGAAAACGGGTTTTGGCAATATCTGGTTTTCACTCCCGTTTCACATTTTTCCATGCGAAAACCCACCTTTTGGATCACGTCGCAGACGACCTTAAAGCTGGGCTCGATGCTCTTCTCGTTCCGCACGTCCGCATAGTGGTAGAGCAGAGGACCCAGATTGATCCACAGGCCGCCAGGTTTCAATATTTCGAATATCGTTTCTATGAATTGCACCACATTTGGGGCACAATCGATAAAGAAGCACGTCGCTACACAATCCCACTCCTCTTTCGTTGTGTACACTTCGAGAAAATCACCTGCAGTCATGGAAAAACTACTGTCAGGCGATGGTCTCGGCTTCACATCGGGAAAACTGCAACCAAAAATTCCTGCTTGAGTTATCGTCGCAAAATTCCTCAGGAAATTGCACAGAAAACTCAAATTACGACCACTCGTACGTATATTTCTTTATTGCGTCATATAAACACATTACAATTGTACAAAATATGCATTACCTACTAGCTTAATTCGCGAAAGAAAATTGTATTTTTAACAGCAAAATACTTCAGACCATCAACTGAAGTCACTGGATTAATTCTGTTTTCCTTGCGGAAATCCAGAGAAGTAAGTTTATGATCCATAACCCTTGAAGAAAATCAGTGATAAGCAAGGGATGTTAATGGAAAGCACCATAAGACATTTCAAATCGGTAAAAAAACAGAAGCCGGTTTTTTAATTGCCGATGGATTTTTGTTGCCGTTTGTTTCTCCACCGATCCAAAATTCGCTCTTAAATGAAACACCACCAATGAAAATTATAAAAAATAGCTGCTTTTTTGGAACATTTTCCAATCAAGAGACACTGGATATGGAAGTGGCTTTCTTCGAAGGAAACGCCTGATAATTGCGCTGATCCAGAAACAATCGTTTCCAGCCCTCTCTGGTCTCCTTGTTGAAGATCACGTAGAACAAAAACATGAGGAAGCCTTGGAAGATGGAACCGACTGTGAAAATGTAGACGCAAATTACTTTCAGCCAGTCCCAGGGGATGAAATTGGAAATGAGGCCAAAAAGCCAGGGAATACCCAGCACAGAGAACAGCAAAACAGCCAGCTTAATGTGCTGGATGGTGGCGCGCCGCGAGTGAAATTTATCCAGTTTGCCGCGCGTCAATTCGAACATTATTTTGCAAAAAACGCAGCAATTGATGAGAAGAGCCGCGACTACCGGTAGGTAGAGGCCGAGAAAGAGGTAAAGACCGTTCGGGTAACAGAAGCGCTCTCTATAGTAGGTGCTCGGATTGGAAATCACCACATAGGCAGAAGGAACCACTCCGAAGCCCCAACCGAAGACGATGGACTTGAGAAGCAGATGGTTCGGCATGGGGCCGAACACCCGAACGAACCTCAAATACTGGCAGAAGGCGTAGATGAGCATCCAGGCGAACTTGCTGATGATCACATACTGAAGAATGCAGCCGGCCACCGGACAGGCGAACAGCTTCGAAGCGTTCATGTACATGAAGATGATTTCCAGCAAAGTAGCCACGGAAAGATGGAGCAGAATCTGTGTCCCAGATTTGTCCCTCCAAGACCTGAACAGGCAGGAAGTGAGGAAGATCCCCAATATCCCGAATAGACTCAGAAGACTCCCCATTGCGGTGATCACGCTCAGAATCTGATCGTTGGTGCCTTCAATCGACTCATCGTTCTGCTTGTTCAGCACCAACAAAGCCAGATGAGTGAGGTGAGTGTACGAGCAAACATGCAGGTTAGTTTGGTTGTTGAAAGTGCCCTCATAACTACTGCCGGATGATGACCAATTTCCTCGCTTCGGCTCCCTCAAATCCCCATAATCCCAAAAGGCGCAATTCAGAAAGGACCGCCCCTGCGCGTTCACCAGCAGAGGAACGGGGCTCTGCAGGTAATTCTCATAGTTGGGGATATTCAAATTCACCACCAAATCAGCCACATTGCGCGTGTTGGACGGAAAGAACTTATCATTCAAGTAAATCAACGCAACCACAGTGGCATTGGTCAAGTTGCTAGCCACTATCTCATCAATATCACTGGTGGAAATGTTCAGCGCCAGCGTCACCTCCTCCAAGTCCTCAATGCCCTCAAACCCGCTGGAAACCTGAATGTCCCGAATTGAGTGATTCCGATAGAGCACAAATCCCGACACATTCTGAGCAATCGGGTTGAACGAGTGGACAATCACTTTGTCCTTCAACAAGCTCGAAGGCTCGGACATGTTGAGCACCAGAAGCTCGCTGGCTCTCAGATAGGAGTCGGTTACATTCAGAGTCTCCTGAGCGGTGAAGAGCAGATTCAGGTCCTTGTCCAGCAGAGCGTCCAAGACATTGAGCAACCCATCCAGAACCGAGCTGTTGACGCTCAACTGGGAGGACTTATCCAGAAACTGCGACACTATGTATAGATCAATCATAGTCAGCTGAGAGGTGCTCACAATATCAGTGACGTTCTGGAAAACCGTCTGGGAGATGGAGAGGTTGAGGTAGGACTGCAACAACAAGGTGTCCTGGTTTAGATCGCGCTCCGCGGAACAGTTGCCGTAAATTTCCCTCCAGTGCAAGCCATGGAGGAAATCGCCGTCGCAGAACCGGGAAACCGGAGAACCGTCAGCTTGGAGGCAGATCTCCGAGGGGAGAACTGTACGAAAGCGACGCGCAAACGGCCAAGTTAAGTTGCGGTAAACTCCCGGCAGGCAGTAGTCACTGCTCCTCACATACTCCACCTCTATGTGCTCGGGATAGCTCTGCAGCAGCTCCTGCAGCTGGAGGAAATCGGCCACCACCCCCGGCCGCGGGTTGTAAGTGCTGGCATGCACCACCAAGTCGGCATAGGAGCCTCTGGCGAATTCCTCCACCTTCATTAGCCGCACTTTAGCGAACCTTTGCAGGGGCTGCTTCACGTCGTCGATCAGCAGGTTGAGCTGGTTGAGGGAACTGCAGTCGGTGAAGTTGCAGACTTGATGGATCTTTAGCCGCACCGCAAACTCACTTCCTGCCAAGGCCTCGTAGGCAATCAAGGTGTTGGATTGGTATTCGCGATCTTCATCCCTGGACCCGCGTGCTTCGCACCAGTACTGCCCCACGTGCCTTTCACGAGTCAGCTGATAAACGATGAAGTTATTGGGGCTGGGCGGATGCTGCACAATGTGCCGATAAACCACCTTGACGCGCACTCGCTTCCTCAGCTCGTCGCCCGCATCAGTGAAGCAGTAGATAAACTCTGGATGGCCGCGCCTATAGAGACACTCTGGATAGTAGACAGTCAGATAGAGGAACCGGTTGAAGGACAGCACCATATCCACTTGTCTGGAGCAGTAATTGAACTGCCGCTGGCAGGACCCACATAGAGGCGAAGGATCATAGCGGTTCCAACCCTCCGGGGCCCGTCGAGGACACATGGAATGATCCGTGACGCAAAAATCGTTGTTCCAACAAGAGACACAGGGACTGGACAGGCAAAAGTCATCCTTTTCGAACATCCCCACTGAACAATTATGCCTGTGCATCGCCTGGCAAAACTCCGGACTAACGAGTCCCCCGATTCCATCATAAACCAGACAGTCCTTCTGGAAAACGTTCGACTGATCGGCGCGTTCAATCGTGATATTATCCAGGACGTTCAGCCCGTACCATCCGCCCCACATCGTGAACTCGTACGGGCCGTAATCCATGCTTCTTCTGGCCGGGTACCAGTAGGTGGAGTTGTCGCTGGCAGGTTCCCAGTAGGCCAACGATGCGAACATGTTCCTCAGGCCGCATCCGTCGTCTGATGTTTGCGGCACCGTCTGGAAGCTGCACGTTTCCTCTTCAGACGAGTCTTGGCAGTTGAAGATCCGCGACACAAAAGGTCTCTTGGCGCACGTCGTGCACAAGTTATACGGCATAGGGCCGGACAGGCATGTTGTTTCGTACTGCCAGACGTTCGGGTTGTCCCAATGGAACGCTCCTGGACCTTCAAATGCTTCAATCTGGAAATCGTCCTGACTGTTCAAGATTCATACACTTAACAACGCCCACATGGGTGTGGATTGAACAGCGAAAGCAGCCACGTGTCTGGCATAAGGATGGAAGTTTTGAGCAATTTCACATGCAAACAACATACATTAGAAGCAGAACGAATTCAGAATTATAGAAGCAGAGTTCAATTTTTATAAATTATGACCGCTTTTCTCATTGCGAGACGTAGCTTCCAACGGGTCTCTCACTCGCACACAGCAGCTTGTGGGAGATGCACGATGGCATAGAGGCTGCTGCGTTCCAAGTTAATATCTCCAGGACTAAAAATATCTCACTTTTAAGCGAAACAAAATTCAATAAACTGTATTTATTGCATAGCATTAAACAAAAGTCAAAAGTCGGAATAAAATATGTGTTCGACTTTCCATCCAAACCCCTGTTGAAACTATTACAAAATTGCTGGTTTTCCGGTTTTTACTGCCCTGCTAATAGAATGTTTTCACCCTTGAAAATGCTGGCGATCGATGACCAAAATCACCGGATTGTTCAATTGGCATAAAACTGTTTGGCTTCCAAATGATTGCAGATACGAAAAAAGTAGGCCTGTGTAACACTGTGTTGAGTTGCGCTATTGAGTTGTTGCCGTTCTCTGAGTTAACGAGTTATAACCTCGGTTAATGAGTTATAATTCA